CTTGTCTAGTTGAGGTGAATTTATAGACTTCACAAAGGCTGCCCATTCTGGGTAAATTCCATCGGCTAGGTAATAACCAGTGTTGTATTGCCTACCATTGACAGAATACTGAACCCGAGGAGCTTCACCCTTTATCGCCTCAAGAAACAAAGGGGACTGATTAAGCACGTTGATGTCATTATTAGACCCAGCAACACCAAAGAATGCATGCCAAATATGGAGGTCATGTGAAGCTACCGCTTCAAGGATCATGGTTGGGAATCCATAGCGACCAGTGGTATATTGCCCCTTCCATGCTGTTGGACAATTTTCCCATCGCCAATGCATGCAGTCAATACTACCCAACATTCCAGGGAATCCACGAGACTCTCCAACTTGGAGCAGACGCTCCATGTCTTCAGCTGTAGGACGTCGAAGGTACTTGGAGCCGAAAACTTCAACCACCCCTTGCACAGATTTTTCCAAGCACTCAAGGGCAGTGCTCTCTGCAACCTTTAAGTACTCATCAAGCATGTCAGCTGTAGTCCCATATGCAAGCATACGGATTGCTGCTGTGCACTTTTGCAGTGGTGAAAGCCCCGGGCGATTAGTACAGTCTACCCTTTGAGTGAAATAGGGAGACCAACTGCCCAGGGCATCCACAATGCGTAGAAAAACATGCCTTCTCATCCGAAATCTTCTACGAAACATTGCATTAGAATATAGAGGCTCTTCTGCAAAGTAATCAGCCACAAGTCGTTGATGAGCACCTTTGATCCCTGTTGATGTACTTTCTGGTTCGACGCCTAGACGAACTACCCACCATCTTTGCCTTAATCTTCGTAAAAATCCGGCTAGCAAGAGAGTCGAGGGCTTGTTGCTCAGCTGAGAACTCTTCTAAGGGGTCTATAGAATCATCGGATGGATCCGACATGTTTGGAGACAAGTTTAGAAAGGGGTATAGAGGTTAGAGAGTTTGGGCTGCTGTGCATATATGCAGCCATACTGGTCATGTATATATACACGCACAAAGGACAAATGCGTTTTGACTACTACACCAAACTGGTCATGTAATTAGTGGTACTGCATGATAATTCACAAAGCATTGGTAATAGATGTTGACTGACTAAATTTAGTGGTACTGCATGATAATTAGCAATGCATTTATACATGTTGACTGGCTGTAAAAAAATAGCAGTAAACAAAGTACCTTAGTTACTGTTACCGGCCAATTTCTCCCTTAGCATCTTCAGGGCAAGGACATGCTCAGCTCTAATATCCTCTGTCATCTCCCTAGTGTCCATACACAAGAGTTTTTGATACAATTCCAGTAAAGCGGCCTCTCTGTTAAGCCTTGCTGTCTGAAACTTCTTTTCAGAAATGCGTTCTTTTGCCTCTACGAAATCTTCCTGTCGTTTTTTTGTTGCTGCTTGAATGTCAATGAATTTCTTCAAGTCTTCATCTAAACTAACATCATCATCGCTGACTCTACCTTTACCATTGCGTTTTTTCTTAGCTTGTTGTGTCCCCATAGGACATTCCAATTCTCCTACAGCTTCTGGTGTCCTTGAGGTGCCAATTGCCTCATCTTCACCATCCAAACTCCTTTTATTTGGGTTTTCAAGTTCTTCCAAAACTGCATGCCACTTGGGTTCATCACGAAGAATCTCCCAGCAATGCTCAACTGTGAATGGTCCTTCCTTATAGTCATCCAAATAAAACTGCTTAGCCATGTCTTTTAGCTGCTCATCTGAATATCCACTAAGATAAATTGAGGTAGCCTTCTTCCAACTTCCACAGAAAAATGCCACCCATCTCTTAATTTTTGTCCAGCGATCTTTGAGATGTTTCACCTCTCTTTTTCGGTTTGTAGGTGTAGTCTTATTGTAGTGTCCATGTACATCACCCCAATACTTCTCATTTTTCTTGCAATTCCCATTGATTGGGTCATTTGAGTGGATCAGCCATGCACTGACCTGAATTTAGGATACATGATTAGTTGTAGGTTCATATATTTGTGTAGCTACAAAAAGAAAGTGAGTGATACAATTTTACTTACTAGCCTCGCGTCCTTATCTGGATCAAATACAAGGCGCTTTGCAGTCCTGCCATCGTTTCCATCATCTAAGTTGATGATGGTTTTGCCTTTCGATCTCTTTTTAGAATTTTGGTTTCCTGAGTCATTTTTTGGTGGTGCTAATTGAGATTCCTTTCCCATAGGTGGCCATGGTGCCGAAACATGATGAAAGAATGGTTGTGCAGATTGTAAAATGCTCATAAAACCACTAGGTGGATAGTAATCCATACCACTGAAAAATCAAGCAACCCATATCGTTAGTTCTAATGAAACTAATATAGCTAGTGAACTAACTGTTTCTGAACATTACTTCTAATAAAACTAATATAGCTAGTGAACTAACTGATCCTGAACATAATAAAATGACAACTAGTGCAGCAAGAAAATTACATAGAAAAAAATAAAACTTACCAATTTGTGGATGTGGCTGCTGAAGATGTGGCTTGTGGCAAAGGTCCAGGCCACCATGTTGCAGAGTCATGCCATTCGGCCATTAGTTTAGACAAACACTTTATCAAGAAATCAAGATAAACTTCCACTAAATAACTAAAAAATCAATAAGTAGCAGGAGTGACTTCATTGATTTTTTTTCTAGCTTACTGCTATGCATCTAGCTAAATATAGAAACCAAGAGCGAACTCGATTACCTGATGGACCTCCTATATTTGGAATAGAAGAACCACCACCAAGAAGTGCAGGATCATGCGTAGGCACTTGAATAGCAGAAGCAGGGGTGGATCCCGCGGATCCCATCTGAGCAGATCCAGTCTGGTGTGGTGGCAGGGCCATCTCTCGCTTCCGGCGGCTCATCACCAGCAGCGACAAGGATCTCGCGGGCCGGAACTGAATCCAAAGAGTCAAGCACAGGAGCTGGATTGTGGAATAAGATAGATGGGAAGATATGATGGAAAAGAAGAGGAACAGACCTTGCTTTTGACGCCTCCAGAACTAAATCGGAAGAGCAAGGGCGGGAGAAGGTAGATTGTGGAGGGATTTTCGGGCGCCGTGGACGGATTTTCGCGCGCAGTGACGCGGGAGAGAAAATGGATTCGCGCGCAGCGGATGGGGGAGAAGGATTCCCGCGCAGGGAACGGGGGAGGAGAGGGTTGCGCGCAGCGGATCTGAAAACGCTAGAAGAATAGCTAGCAGATGGCGATGAAGCTGGCGATTTGGCGCATCGTCGCGCGTGCGAGCTGAGCGACGAGCAAGTCGCCGGCTCGAATATTTTTGCATCTTCTCTTTCCTCCACATAGGATACATGCTGAGCTGTACACTCAAATAGCTAGCTGACTCAGCACCATTGCGGACGCCCTTATACTCACTCTGAGCACACGGTGAGTACAGGTGCATACATCTATCTTATGATGGACTATTGCTCCTAGTAATTTTTAGAGTAAATTGCACACACACCATACCACAGTTTTTATGACTATATCATTTTGGCCCAACAAGTTAAGAAATGTGCAAATGGACATATGAACTTGGACTTGGTGAATGCGGCCGTCTAGGTCACATACTCTCTCTGCTTGAAGTTGAAAGCTCACACATTCATTCAGCTTTAATACTTCCTCCGTTTCATAATATAGCTATTCTAGATTTGTTTTCCAAATCAAATTATATTACTTTTAAAAAACTTATAATAGAAAATATCATCTAGATTTGTTGAATGTGTGCATCTAGGTCACATAGTCAGTCTACCAGAAGTTGAAATCTCACACATTCATTCAGCTTTAATACTTCCTCCTTTTCGTAAGATAGCTGTTCTAGATTTGTTTTAAGTCAAATTATATTAATTTTGACCAAACTTATAGGAGAAAAATACCATCTAGACACCAAAAAGTATTATTAGATTAATGATCAAATAAATTTTGGCAGTTTACTTATTTGGTGTAATAGATTTTAAATATTTGTCTACAAAGTTAATTAAACTAAAATAGTTTTATTTAAGACAAACCAAAAGTAGACATATTAGGATGGGGGTAGTACCACATTTCCAATTTGTTGTTTAAAAGATTATAGGTTATCAATACTCTCATAGGGGGATCAGAGATGTTAGTTGCTATCATGTCGGAATTTTTACTTGCACGTCCTGGAAGTAGGAAATGCCTACTCTGGTTGTAACGGACTTGCTAGCGCAAGGACGTTCGATCCGGGCCACTAGTGTTGGACGGTGCCGCGCGCGCAAGAGAAGGAGCCCGCGTCACCTGCTTTTCGCGCGCCCTACCGCGTGGGCCCTCATGCCAACGCTCGGTTTCTCACGTGCCCGTCTGTGCCCGCTCGACGGCGCCCCAACAGCGGCCCCACGCCACCGGACATCACCCAACAGCTACAACAGATGGCTGCGACAGGTGAGTCCCATTGCAACATGTGGAACACCAGATCTACTTTTGCAACACTCAGATCAAACACTTACAACATACGTTTGAAACACTTGCAAAACACTTGAAAGCCATTGCAACACATATACAAAATTTAGATGAAAGACTTGCAAAACACCTGGAAAACACTTGAAAGCCATTGTAAACATATGCAACATCCAGATAAAATACTTGCAACAGACGTATGAAACACCTGAAACACTTAAAATATACGTGTGCAACATGCAAGTATATGCAACATCTAGATCTACTTTTGCAACATACATAAGAAAACACTGGCAACATAAGTCTGATACAGATGAAATATTTGGAACATACATTTGAAACATACGTGTATAGCCATTGCAATACATGCAACATCCTGATCTATTTTTGCAACATCGATATAAAACACTTGCAACATACCTCTGAAACACTTGAAACATACGTTTGCAACATGCTCTTTCAGCGCAAACCTCTTTTTGTTGTTTCGGCGAATGGAGGCTCGTTGGTGCGTGGAGGTCACCGTTGTGCTCGTCGGTGGCGCAAAGCTCGCCGGCAACGCGGAGCTAGGCAACGATGCACAAATGGTGGGTGTGGGGGTGGCACGGGCAGCAGTGGCACAGAAGGCGGGTGGGTGGCGCGTGGAGGTCGCCGGTGTGCTCGTCGGCGGCGCGGAGCTCGCTGGCAACGTGGAACTGGGCGGCGGCACACACAGAGGGCTAGGTGGGGGACAGCACAGGCGTCGGTGGCGCAGAGGGTGGGTGGGCGCGGCGCGTGGGGCACAGAGAGTGGGTGGAGCGTCCGGATGTCGGAGGAGTTGTAATCCTGAAATCGGCCATTATGTTTGACAATTGACACTCTTCTACCATACTTCAATGATTACGTACAGAGCTTGGGAATGCTAACGGCCTCATCCATGATGCCAACCGCGAGCTTGCCGCCGTCCGCGTCTCCTGCACGGCTCACCGTCTTCTACGTCGCGCTGTACCTGCTGGCTCTGGCGCAAGGCTTCTACGGGCCATGCGGGGAAGCCTTTGGCGCGGACCAGTTCAAGCCTAGCGACAGCGGCGAACCCAACGCGCCAGCGTTCCGGAGCTCCTACTTCAACTGGTTCCACTTCTCCATGTCCTGGGGCTACGCCATCGCGACGGCCGGGCTGAGCTACGTCCAGGACAACGCCGGTTGGACCGTGGGTTTCGGCGCGTGCTGGACCGCGTTGGCGCTATGCCTTGCCGTCTTCTTACTGGGCACGCGGACGTACCGTGCCAAGCAACGACCCGTTGATGGCGGCACGTTCGCTGAGACCGTGGGGACGTTGGGCGCGAGGGTCTTCCGTCCAAAGGACAACACTCCAACTGATGAAAGGTGAACACGAGCAACACATTTCCGCTGTATTGCAGGTACGTGTACGTCAACGTCACAGACAGAAGGGTCTTGTCCTGACGGAGCTTCTGTGGACTTGTGCAGGCTGCTTCTACCTCCACAACCTGAGCAGGGCGGACTCATAGCTAAGCTGCTCCCGATATGGTTGACGAGCTTAGTCTTCACGGCCATCTACTCGCAAGTGTCCACTCTGTTCACCAAGCAAGCCAGCACATTGGACAGGCACCTTAGCACGGAGACGGGCCTCGTCGTGCCGCCCGCGCCGCGCTCCAGTGCTTGATCAACGTCACCTTCATCCTCATGCTCCCGTTATACGACCGCGTCATCGTGCCCCTCACGCCGCGGGCATCACGATGCTCCAGCGCATCGGCGCCAGCATGGCCACGTCCTGCGTCGCCATGGCCGTTGCGGCGCTCGTGGAAGTCAGGCGGCTCCGCGTGGCCAGAGACGCGGGCCTGGTCGACCGGCCGGACGTGGCTGTGCCGATGAGCCTGTGGTGGATGATTCCGCAGTACGTTCTCATGGGCCTCGCCGCAGTGCTGGGTATGGTTGGTCTGGAGGAGTTCTTCTACGACCAGGTGCCCGACACTCTCCGCAGCGTCGGGCTCGCGCTGTGCCTGAGCATCTTTGGCGTGGGAAGCTACGCCAGCAGCTTGCTTGTGTCCGTGATCGACTGGGCGACGAGAAGCAAAGGCGAGAGCTGGTTCTCCGACAATCTCAACCGAGGGCATCTCGACTACTTCTACGGGCTCCTTGCAGGGCTCGCGGCTCTAGAGGTAGCCGTGTTCTTGTATTTTGCAAATCGATACGTCTACACAAAGAAAGCCGAGCTGTGAATCTGTAATTCTTGAAACTTTGCAAGTATAAAAATACTCCGCTCATAGCTTTTTTTTTAAGTTTATGTTGGCCCACAGGATCACCGGCTCAGGTGAGTGAATCACTCACCAGTCTTGCCGAGCACCCACTAGTGTTGCCGAGCACCCACTAGACGTGCCGACCACGAACAAGCGTTGTACATCCCCACACACTATGACTAGAGTTAGAAGAAGAAGGGATAACAGAGCATGCACACATAGTACAAGACACCAGCGTTGGCCGAAGCCCTGTCTGAGAGATGGCAAATCTAAAATCTCTTTACTGAGTTCACATGGTAGTCTATTTATACAACTCTATCCATCTAGTCCTAGTACAGTACAGCGCACATGCTGCAACAGTAACTAGATAACATACATGGCTGACTCAACGCCGGCCTCTGTATGTGCCTACAGTGCTGTAGGTGAGCCGTGCGGTGCCTACACCTGCAGCAGCTACAGTATCACAGCATGGGGCCTTTCGGCGCCGTCTTTCCTTGTTGTGTTCACACAAGGTAGCAGTAGATTATCTAACAATTTTCCCCTAATCCTACTGTTAACCCTTGTACCCCCTTCATGCCGATCATCTCCTTCAGCTCCGTGAGTCGAAGACGTCCGAGCGGCTTGGTGAGGACGTCCGCGAGTTGTCGACCAGTTTCAACGAACTCGATGACGATCTACCATCCATCGACACAGTCCATGAGGAAGTAGAACTTCATGTCGATGTGTTTACTCCGGTCGTACAGAACCAGATTCTTCACGAGGGCGATGGCGGGCTGGTTGTCCACCATCAGTGCTGGTGGGTGAGCTTCCACGCCGGTCAGCTTGCCTAGCAGCCAAGGCAGCCACACAACTTGACACGCCGCTGTGGCAGCCGCTACGTACTCTGCCTCGCACGTAGATAGCGCCACCACCTTCTGTTTCAGCGACAGCCATGAAATTGGGGCCGACCCGAGGAAGACGAGCACGCCAGAGGTGCTCCGTCGTCCGTCGATGTCCCCCGCCATGTCTGCATCGCTGAACACAGTGAGCTGCAGCCTACTCCCGCCGGTCTTGAGAAAGATGATCTCCTGATCCATCGTCCCTTTGACGTAGCGCAGTAGCCGCTTCACCGCAGCCCAGTGATCCTCTCTGGGATCCTCCATGAAGCGACCGACGTAGCCCACGACGAACGTAATGTCCGGCCTCGTGTGGATAAGGTAGCATAGACCGCCGATGATGCTCTGATAGAGTGTTGCATCTACCTTCGCCGTGGTGCTGGCCTTCGTCAGCTTCAGCCGCTCCTCCATCGGAGTCACACATGGCTTGCACTCAGCCATGCCGCTTCGCTCCAATAGCTTGGAGGCATACGCGCTCTGACCGAGCGTGAGTTCCTCCTTCCCCTGTCTCACCTCGATGCCGAGGTAGTTGGAGAGTGCGTCGAGATTGCTCATTCAAAAACGAGCCGCCATCTCATGCTTGAAGCCGTTGATGTCCTCCGTGCGCGCGTCGGTAACGATTAAGTCATCCACATCATGCAGATGATGAGCTCCTCCTCCCCATCATCGCGTGTGTAGAGCACGTGCTCGGTTGCGCACCGCTGAAACCAAAGCTCACCCAGCGTGGCGTCAAGCTTGGCGTTCCATGCTCATTGGGCATGCCGCAGCCCGTAGAGCGCCTTGCGCAGTCGGAGCACCCTATGCTCCTCTCTCTTGATGGCAAAACCTAGAGGTTACCTGACGAAGACCGTCTCCGCCAGTTCGCCGTTGAGGAAGGCCGATTTAATGTCCAAGTGATGGACGCGCTAGTCCTTTGCTGCTGCCAAGGCTAGTAGCAAATGGACCGACTCCATGCGCGCTACTGACGCAAAGACCTCCTCGAAGTCTATGCCCTCATGCTGAACAAAGCCTTGGGCGATGAGGCGCGCCTTGTGCTTGACAATGGCGCCGAACTCATCCCGCTTGACCTTGTACACCCACTTTAAGCTGATCGGACGACATCCTGGAGGTGGATCGACGAGCTGTCATATCTCGTTTTCCTCGATTGCCTTCATCTCCTCCAGCATTGGCAATTTTCGTCCCGCTCGGCCAGCGTGAACGTGGGTGGTTCCTCTGCACTGACGAGCAGCAGCTCTGCGTCATTGAGCAGCCGACCAGCCAGTCCTAAGGGGCCTATGCTGCCGACGATGTCGTCTAGCCTGCGAAACCGCACCTCCTCACCTTTGTGGAAGACATCCACGAACTCAGTGATGTCACTTGAAGGTGAGGCGAACTCGATCGGCGTCGATGAAGTTCCCTGTTCCGCCAGAGTGCTCGACACAACACCTGGAGTGCTCGGCACCCTGGTTGCATTGCTCGACACTACTTCTGGACTTCTCGTCATAACTCCTACAGTGTTTGGCCACACTGTAGGAGTGCCCAGCCTCTGTCTTGGAGTGGTCGACACCACTGCAAAGACGTCTTGGCTCCACCACGGGAGTGCTCGGCACCCGTCCTAGAGTGGTTGCCACCACTACAGAACCTCCCGGCACCACTCCTGGCGTGCTCGGCATCCTTCCAGGAGTGCTCGACATCCCTCCTGAAGTGTTCGGCACTGCCCTAGGAGTGCTCGGCACCTCTTCCCCAGCATCTCCACCACCGTGGATGACCAAGTGCTTGACGACGAAGGTGCTGGTGAAGCCGCTAGCTTCCCCCATGCTCAGACTGCTCCAGACCTAAGCCGCCTCCTCATCGAACACGACGTCGCGCGAGACAAGCACCTTGTCTCCGCGTGGGTCATAGAGCCGGTACGCCTTGGTACCCTCCACGTAGCCCAGGAACACCATTGGTGTGCTCCTGTCCTCTAGCTTTGTGAGGTTCGGCTTTGTCTTCCTGACGTGGCCGATGCAGCCGAATGTCTGGAGGAAGGACATGCTCGGCTTACGCCCATACCAAGCTTCGAATGGCGTCTTGCCCGTCAGGGCCTTGGTCGAAGCGCAGTTGAGGATGAACACCGCCGTTGTCACCACCTCTCCCCCAAACCTTGCTGGCATGCCTTTGGCCTTCATCATGGATCGGGCCATGCCGACCACCGTCTGGTTCCGTCTCTCCACCACGCCATTCTGTTGTGGCGAGTACAGCGTGATGTGGTGTTGCTCCACACCCTGATCCACGCAGTATGCAGCGAACTCCACAGAAGTGAACTCGCCACCGCGATCAATCCTCAGCATGCGGAGCTTCTTGCCGCTCTCGGCCTCCGCGTGCGTCTTGAACTTCTTGATCGCCACCGCCGCTTCGTCCTTGCTCGTCAGGAGTTGCAGCCACATGTAGCGACTGCAATCATCTATGAGCAGGAGGAAGTACCGCCGACCACCATTTGTAGCAGGCATGATCGACCCGTAGAGGTCGTCGTGGACAAGCTCGAGAGCGTCCTTCGTGCGATACTTGGCCACCTTTGGGAAAGGTAGCCTCCTCTGCTTCCTGGCCAAGCAGCTGTCACACAGCTCGCCTCTGTGCTTGATGTGGGGTAGCCCTCGGACCATCTTCTCCAGCCGACCAAGTGCGTCAAAGCAAAGATGTTCGAACCGGGCATGCCACATCCACGGTTCCTTAGAGTGCCTTGCCGCCAGGCACACCGGCTGCTCTACCTTCAGGTCGAGCAGGTATAACCAGTTCAAGGACCTCTTCACCTTGGCGAGAAGTCATTGCTCCTGGTATCTGATCCTAAGGACTCCGTCCTTGATCAGTACCTCGCTACCATGCTCATCCAGCTGACCAATGCTGATGATGCTGGAACGCAACTACGGGATGTAATATACATCCGTTAGCGCATGGTGCTCCCCGTTCTGGCACCTGAAGATGATGGTGCCGCACCCTTGGATTGCCACCCTTGAGCCATCACCAAACTTCACCGTACCGGTAACATCATCGTCGAGCTCGGAGAAGGATATCTTGGAGCCCATCATGTGGTTGCTGGCCCTAGAGTCCAGATACCACCACTACTCCTGGTCGGCACCCACACGTTCGAGGTGAACTTGGGCGCATGGTTCATCGAGGTTGACAGTCTTTAGGGCCTTCCTAGGTCCTTCCACCATCATCGCCTCTTCCCTCTCCTCGGCCTCGACGTCGTGTAGTACATAGAACGTCGCTATTAGGATAGTGGTCTCATCCTCATCATCAGCTTGCGCCAGATGAGCTTCAGCCTTCTTCTCCTGCTTGTGATTTGGGCACTCCCGTGCCTAATGGCCCATCTTCCCGCAATGCCGATAGGCGTTAGGGTCGACCTGCTTCTTCTTTGAAGAAGCCTTGCCGCGGCGCTTGCCATCGCCACCGCGGCTGGAGGAGGCTGCCTTCCCGGAGTTTCTCCAAGCAGCCCACTCCTCTTCCGTCAGCAGGAGTTTCCCGCTATCCTTCGTTGTTGTCATCTGCTCTAGGCACTTGTCCACCGCCCGCAGACGGCCTGTCACATCCTCAATGGTGAGGGTGGACAAGTCTAGCATCGTCTCTATGGAGAGAGTGATCTAGATGTACTTTGCCGGCATTGAGTGGAGGTACTTGAAGACCGACTCCTCTTCATCGATGGTGATGCCGTGGCTCTTTAGCTTGCTGATGAGCGTCTGCAGGTGGAGGGAGAAGTCCTCCACCGTTTCACCATCCTTGAAGTTGAGGTTGGCGTACTCTTGCTTCAGAAGCTGGGCCATCGTCTTCTTTGCACGGTCAGAACCGACGCGCATCGCCGCAATAGCCTCCCATGCCTCCTTAGCCGAGCTCTTCACCCCCAACGGCTCCCTATACTCCGCCGGTACAGCAGCGAGGATAGCCTTTAACGCTGACATGTCATCTTCTTCATTATCGGTGCCCTTGTCAACAGCATTCCAGAGTCGTTGGGCTCTGAGCTTGACCTTCATGGTCACCGATCACTCTCCATAGTTGGTGCGCGTCAGCGTCGGCCAACTAGTGCCGCTGACCTCCCGCACCGTGTGAACAACGACCTCCGGGTGTGGCTGGGTAGCCACAACAGTGCCACTG